TGATCTACCTGCCAAGACATGCCTGTTGGTACAGTAGCCGCAGAAATGTCATGAAGTGAACCTTAGAAAGAAAGATTCCTGATTGGATTTAAGGCCTGCTCCACAGGTATGGCATCATCATCAGGAACAGGAACCTTTGGTTAGATAGGGTACAGACCCTAGGAGAGAATCTATTACTACTACTCTGCTAATGGACATAGTATTAAGTTGACTCCTGATGACTTGTTATACCCATAAATTAGTACATCTGTCAACTCTTATCAGAGAAGATGCTTTTTGTACTCAACAGTGATAAACCCGAGATCCACAATGGTCATGGTGCAGAGAGAAGAGATTGAGACATTCATATAGCAACCCCTTCTCCCAAGGCTTAGGAATCATTTGGGAAGAGGGGACAGGAAGATTGTAAGAGCCAGAGTCAGTAGATGACTAAATGGAAGCAGAATTTTCTGAACACAGCAGGGAAGTTGCACATGTGAATTCACAGTGGTTAGAACAGCTTCAAAAGACCTGTGTAGGCTAGGCAAGCCCAGTTATAACATGGAGAGGAGAGGTGGGCATTAAGTCCCACCTCTGACTAAGGAGCTGTTGGTAGTTGAAAGCTGATGCTAGGAGAGGAACAGTTATTTTTCTTTAAGGTATGGACCTTGGTAGGTGGACCATCCTCTAGTAAAGGCCACACATCCTAGAGTATATATGCAGCATAAACTGTACTTGATGAATTTTGAAAAAGAGGATACAAGTTGGGTGGGTAAGGATGGATCTGGGAGAAGTAGGGGTATGTAGCTATAATAAAAATGCATTGTACAAAATTCTCAGAAAACTAATAAAAATGAGAAAACCTGAAAACACAAAAGAGAGATTTATCCAACAAGGAGACATTGCAGTTTTAAACATTGATACATGTGCTGAGTACAAGTGCACTCGTTTTCATAAGACATACTTTGCTAGGTTCAAAGACACAGTTTGACTCCATGTTTGTTTTGTTTTTCAAGACAGGGTTTTTTCTGTGAGCTCTGGTTGTCCTGGAACTCACTGTAGACCAGGCTGGCCTTGAACTAACAGAGATTGGCCTGTCTCTGCCTCCGGAGTGCTGGGATTAAAAGTGTGTGACACTACTGCCTGGCCTCTCTGTCAATTTTGAGTTCATGTCAAAAAGTAAATTGAAGCATCTGGATCATGATTAAAAGGACTTAACAAATATTGACAGAACATTCTCTCTTAAAACTGCAGAATACAAATTCTTCTCAGCAGTCCATTGAACTTTGTCCAAAATTTTATATTAGAAAATAGAAGAAATCTGAACAGTTATGGAGAATAGAAATAATTCTTTGTATTCTATCTGATGACAATGAAAAATTACAAAACAACAGTTAAAATGACTGTAGAACATATACAAACTTATGAGGTCTAACAACATGCTATCAAAAAGAAATAAAACTATTTTAAAAATCGAGTGAGCCGAGTGGTGGCGGTACATGCTTTTAATCCCAGCACCCTGGAACCAGAGGCAGGCAGATCTCTTGAGTTTGAGGATAGCTTGGTCTACAGAGCGAGTTCCAGGATATGCTCCAAAGCTACACAGAGAAACCCTGTTTCAAAACAAACAAACAAACAAATCAAGTGAAAATGAAGCACAATGTACCAAAGTCTATGGAATAGAATGAAAGTAGTCCTAAGAAAGAATATTGGAACTCTTAGTGCCTACATTAAGAAATTAGAAAGACCTCATAATTTAATGCTACATCTTAGGGTTGGAGAAATAAGAACAAACTAACTGCTCCCTCCCCCCCTCCCGATCTTAGTTAGCATTTCTGCTGCTGTGACAAAACACCATGACCAAAAAACAAGTTGGGGAGGAAAGGGTTTATTAGCCTTACACTTCTAGATCCTAGTCCATTATTGGAGGAAGTCAGAGCAGCAACTCAGGCGGGGCCTGATGCAGAAGCCGCAGAGTTGTGCTGCTGGCTGGCTTGCTCTCCATGGCTTGCCCACTCTGCTTTCTGGCTGGGACTGCCCTCCCAGGGATGGCACCACTCACCGTGGACTGGGCTCTCCTACATTGATCATCACTAATTGAGAAAATGCCTTAGCTGGATCTCATTGAGGCATTTCCTCAAATAAGGCTTTTTCATCTCTAATAACTCTAGCTTGTATCAAAACTCCAAAAACACAAAACTCCAAAATCAGTAGATAAAAAGAAATGCTTGAGAATATGGAGACATGGCTTAGGAGCGAAGAGCTCTTGCTGTGCAGGCATGAAGCCCGGAGTTCGGATCTCTGCACTCACTTACGTTCCTATGTGCACATTAATTACAGGTCTGGGGGACCATGGACAAGAGGACCACTATGGTTTGTTGGCTGCTAAGCCTGGTTGAAAAAAAATTGAGCTTCAGGTTTAAGAAGTGATTGGCCTTGCCTCAAAGGAGTAAGGTGGAAATTAATAGAGGAGGTCACCTGACATCTTCTAGGCTCTCTACACCACCTCCCCATACACATAAAAATAAGCAAAAAGTTAAAGGCAGAGATTAATGAGAAACAAAAAACCAAAAATAGTACAAAAAAAATCACTGAAACAGAGTTGGTTCTTTGAAAGGATAAACAAGATCTATAAACTCAGATTAAATGACCAAAAAAGGTATCCCAACTTAATAAAATTAGAGATGGGAAAGGAATGCTTTAGGAGTGTATGCTCACTGGCTATGTTGACACACGCTTGTAGCACTGTGAGGGAGGCAGAGGCAGGCCAGCCTGGTCTACATAGTGAGATCCCATCTCAAAACCAACGTACATATGTATGTACGTGTGTGTTCTACTAAATTGGAAAAATCTAAAAAGAATGATACATTTCTATGTTCATCAAAATTGAGCTACCAAAGCTGAACTATGATGAAATAATTTAACCACTTCTGTTACAAGCAGTGAGATTAAAGTAGTAATAAAAATAAATCTGACTAGAAAAGTGCAGTCCAAGTTGGATTCACTGGTGAGTTTTACCAGACCTCCAAAAAACTAAAAGTAATTCTTCTGAAACTCTTTCATAAAGTAGGAAATGAAGAAACACTACAAAACTCTTTATTAAAGGCAGTATTATATTACTCTGATAACTGCTAACAAAATCATATAAACACACATAATTAGATCAGTTTCCTTAAAGCACTGCAAAATTTCTTAGTAAAGTGCTCACTGAGTATAGATGCTCATAAGAAAGACCATCATGATGATGAGGTTGGCTTTAGTCCAGAGATGCTGGGAGGGTTCCACATACAGAGATCAGTGCATGTAGCATGTTACATGAATGGACTCAAAGACAAAACTCATATGATCGTCTTATCTTTTCCTGATAAAAATCCTGAAGTGGGAGCTGGATAGATAGATGGATCTACTATTAAGAGTATTAACTGCACTTACAGAGGATCTGGGTTCAATTCCCAGATCCATGTGGCAATTCACAGCCTTCTGAAATTTCAGTTAAAGAGAAACTGGGAACAGAAGGAACATGTCTCAGTATTTAAAGGCTGTACAACAAACTTATAGTCAACATTAAACTAAATGGGGCAGAACTCAAAATATTTCCACTAATATCAAAGAACAAACTAAGGGTGTCCATTTTCATTGCTTACTCAATATAGTATTGGAATTCTTAGCTAGACAAGAGAAACAAAAGGCATACAAATAGGAAAGATTTGAAGATGAAAGATTCTATATATAAGATCCTATAGGCTGTACCAGAAAACTCTTAGTACTGACAAACATTTTGAGCAAAGTGGCAGTCTGCAAAATCAGTAGTCTTCTTTTAGACCAGTACACATTGAGAAAGACATTAAGGAAACAGTTCTATTTACAATTCACACCCATGATCTTGAACTAAATCTAACCAAGGATGTGAAAGACCTAGAAGATGAAAAGACACCTGAGCTCATGAACTGGAAGAATTGTGCAAATGGCTGTCTTAACAAAAGTAGTCTACAAGATTGAATGAAATCCTAATCAGGAGGCCAACACCATACTTCTTGGAAATATAAAGAGCAATCTTAAAATTTATTTGGAAACAAAAAAAGGTCTTCAGATATCCAAATCAATTCTGTCCTCCCCACCCCCAATAAAGAAAGAAAGGGAGGGAGGGAGGGAGGGAGGAAGGAAGGAATAAAGGAAGGAAGGAGAGACAGAGGAAGGGAAAGAAAACAAGCAGAGACATCACCACACCTTGTTTCAAGGTATTACAGAGCTAAAACTAAGCACGGTATTAGCACAATCAGAAATATAGATCAGTGGAACAGACTAGAACATCTAGTTATAAATCCATGCAGCTACAGCCACCTGTTTTTTGACAAAAATGTTAGAACTAGTCATTGGAGAAAAGATAGACTCTAACAAATGGTGTTAGGAAATTGGCTATCTGCACGAGAAACTTTATGGTATATACACCTGAGAATACCCAGCCAAAGCTAATGCCATAAAGATTTACTCGGGTTTTTGTGGAGTGCTTCAAAGTTTTAATATAAAGGACTGCTAAATACTTTATTCTAAGAAATAAATTTTGATAAGTTTTGATTAATTTTAAGTGTATAATATATATATATATATATATATAATGTATATAATGAGATTTTGATCTGCCAACTTCATTTCATGGGAGTGGGTGATTGCTAATTTTGTATTGTAATCTCATTTATTTGGTTTTTCTAGTCTGGTTATGTCTTTATATTTATCATTCACTGATTAGAATTTACATTACTTTGGCTTCTTTCAGTCTGTTTTCAACATTCAGAAGAATGTAGCTGGTGGCCTCTGTTGAGTGAAGAATGGTAACAATCATTATAAGGGTGTTATTAATTATTCTTTAGCTTTTAAACAAAACAAAATAAAATCTTCCCGCCTTTCATCCTAAGATGGAACTTATTATTCTGTTAACTGTCAAAAGTTATAATATTTAAAGTTTGGTATATGTTTTAATCAGAGGGTATAGTTTTGTTGTTTCTTCTTTTTTTCTTCCCCAGTACTTGATTCTGAAGCTTGAAAGGCCTGCTATAGTTCAGAATATTACATTTGGAAAGTATGAGAAAACCCATGTCTGCAATTTGAAGAAATTCAAAGTCTTTGGTGGAATGAATGAAGAAAATATGACAGAACTGCTGTCTAGGTAGGCTTGGTTGTGGGGAAGAAAGGACTGTCTTTGAAGCACACTGCAGATTTAGTCTACTTTGTTTATAGCTGAACCTGTGTGCCCTTTCCAAGGAAGGAAAGAAAGAACATTTCTCTGGCTTTATTCCTAGTGTCTTTGTTAACACTGTGACCTAAATTGATGGAGGTTATTTGTTTCATTTTTTTAAACTACCAGATACTAGCTAAAATTATTAAAGGAGAAAGAATCAAATGTTTCTTTCTTTTTTCCTATTCATAATTTTGATCTCACAATAATCTTAGAAATGCTTTCTACTCTAATGAAAATCTCTGGGCTCAGTCTTTATCACTTCCAGAGCAAACCACCCATTTGTGGTGGAAGGATAAAAACCATGACTATTGGAAAATATAAACCTTACACAAAATAAGAATTGTCTAATCCAAAATAGTAGTCTAAGATTTTACTGTTTGAGATGAAAAAGGAGAAGTTTCAGTAAATGAAAGCAAAACATAATGTGGCAGCTTGTAACACATTGTTTGCCGTTTGGGAAGAGCTCAGAAAATTGGAGTTCTAAAGCAGCTACATCCCAGCGTGATGAGAAGTCAGACAGCAGTGGAAAGAGAGCCGTGAATATTAGAATGTATTTGTGACATGGCAATCCCATTAAGAAAATACTGAACTAAATACTGGTTGTGTGCTCTATTTTAAGTCATAGAAGTATTTTAGGGAGTAAGGTAGTCTGATGATAAGGGATTTTCCTGTAAACACTTGTATCAGTCTTGGTTAAACGAGGTGATCTGGGTTAGTGTTTACTTAGGTTCAAGGAAATGCTATTAAATCAATTTAGCAGACCAAGATTGCCTTTGAAAATTTGTGAATGATAAAAAGATAATTAATAAACAAATTATTTGATAAATTCTAATATTTGGCCTTGTTGAACTTGTTAGATATGAATGGTTTTTAATTCCTTTCCTACTACTTGAAAATTTTTCAGGTTAAATTAATTATACACTAAATTTCCATGCAGCTAGCCCCATTCTTTAGTTAATGTAGACCATTTTTTCATTAGCTTTTGTATAGTTTTGAAAAGCACAACAGTATGCAGTTAGTTTTGATATACACATTTTGACTTATGTTTTCATGTTCTGTTATTTGTTTATATCATATTGTATATGCAGTGTGAACACTGATTTAAAGCTTAACATCTCAGTGTAAGAGCAGAATGTCTTAGTGTGTTTACTAAATTGTGAAATCATATTTGATATAGTTTTTTTCCTCCCCCACCCAACAGTGGCTTGAAGAATGATTATAACAAAGAGACATTTACCTTGAAACATAAAATTGATGAACAGATGTTCCCTTGTCGATTCATTAAAATTGGTAAGGTTTTAGTGTTTTGGAATTAAAACAGTTTTTTAGTGCCTTTCGTTCATAGATTCTAGTGTATGGACCAGATTCTCTAGGTCTGTCTGTTGTAGTTTCTTTAATTGGAGTGTTGCTGCACTGGTTAGTTTGTGCATTGGTTTCGACTGCTTTTGTGCTCCAAGGTAGAGGTGGATAGTTTAAAGAATCGCATAGCCTACCAAACTGAAAAGATTTCTGTTGGCCCTTTACAGAAATGTTTGCTGACCATTGCTTTATGAATCCATTATTAAATGACAGTAATATAGTGAGGATGTTTTTTCAAAGTGTTTTCTCTTTTGAAAGGGTTCTTACAAGATTTTATAGGATTGTTGTGATCTGATTGCCTTTTAATCATGCATGGAGGTTTGTCATTTATTCTAGAGTTGTCAGCTGAGCACAAATACTGATGAGTTTTCCAAGGTACTGTAGTGTGATCATTGCTTTGTTCTTGTCTATTTCACCTTTTACATGACATTCTGGTTAAACTTGTCAATCTCATGTTTCAACAATTATATGCAAACTACAGTTCAGAAATACTGTCTTAAGGCATATGCTTATTAACAAGTGTTTTAAGCTTATGAAAGGGCTTGCAATACATCCTTAAGGCTAGGCTTGTTAAATTCTGTGTTCCTCTAGATTTGGTATTTAGAGGGCAGGGATGTTAAGGACTGAGCCTTTGGATTTCTATCTCTACCTCACGCCTTTAGAAGTTTTTTTTAATTAAAATTGGAATCAAAGAAATCATATTTATTATTGAAGAACAATGGTTAATTCTAGAATCCCACATTTTTATTTTTGAAAAAATTTTTTGGTAATAATAGTGTTCAAGAGTAGACTCAAAGGGAATCATGGAGACCCTCAAGACTGTGGTAGTAATTACTGTATTTATTCAAGTCCCAACAAAGCATTGATTTATTAAAGTCCTTTTTAAGTACTTGTGTTACAGTTAAATTTCTTCTGTATACCTGGTTGAACAGTAATATCGGACAGCCAGTCAAGTCTTTCAGATAGACAGCCATGCCATCCTCAAGTGACTATTTTTTTCTTACTGTCAGCTTTTTAAATTAGATTTCATTTTTACTTTATGCATATGTTTTGCCTTCATGTATATGCACCATGTACCATGTGTCTAGTGCATGAGAAGCTCAGAAGAGGGCATCTGATCCTCTTGAACTATAATTATGGATGTTTGTACTGGGGACTAAACCTGGGTCCTTTGGAAGAGCAGCAACTGTTCTTAACTGCTGGATCATTTTCCACCCCAAACTCCACCCCTACTGTTCGGGTTAAGACATCTAGTGTAGTATTGATTAGCGGAGTAAATGGTTTCTTGTCTTGTTCTGACTTGAACAATAGTATTTAATATTTTCTCAGGTTTAATGTTTAAGACGTAAGGTGATTTTTAAAAGTAATTTAACATATTTTTTCCTTTTGGCTTTTCTTAAGGTGGTAAATTGCATCACTATATCTTTTTTTTATCAGATCATCTTGTAGTCTTTGAAGGAAGTTTTTTTTTATAAAGAAGATCTACGAGATATTTTTTATTGTTGCTTCTTTTTGCTATTATTTATGTATTAAGAATAGTTGAGATTGACTTTTTCATATTTGAGATTGAGTGTTTTTTCTTTGGATTTGTTTTTAGGATTATATATTGATAAATAGTTGAAGCTTTAATCTATACTGGGATACAATTTTAAAATATTATCTGCTGGGGACTGGAGAAATGGCTCAGTGGTTAAGAGTACTGACTACTCTTCCAGAGGACCTGGGTTCAATTTCCAGCACCCACATGGTGGCTCACAACTGTCTGAAGATCCAGTTGCAGGGGATCTGACACCTTCACACGATTGCACATAAAATAAAGTTAAATAAACCACAAAAATTTTTAAAATATATGTATTATCTGCTGCATGTAGGATCAGTAACGTCTGTTATATTATCTAGTTTGGATTTTATTTATTTAGGAGTAGATGTATGATGGCTTTGAAGTTAATTACAGTTTTTGTTAACTTAAAAAATGTAGCTTTAGTCAGATTTGTTTTTTAATATCATGAACCATCTTTTAGAAATTAAACACTAGTTTCTAAATGCATGTTTTTGTTGTTGCTCTTTTGAGTCAGAGTTTCACTGTGTAGGCTAGAAACTCTTGTTCCTCTTGCCATAGCCTCCTGAAGACTGAAAATGCAGGTATGGCGGGTGTGTGCAGAGATTTTGATGAATAAATCCATATAGACTTAAACATTAGTAATTTTACTTCTTTGAAATTTTATTTGAATTATATTAATTTTTTCCCTCTTTTTGCTTTTCCTCCTAAAGTTCCACTTCTTTCCTGGGGGCCCAGCTTTAATTTTAGCATCTGGTATGTTGAGCTTAGTGGCATTGATGACCCCGATATAGTGCAGCCCTGTCTGAACTGGTACAGCAAGGTAGGACTGCTTTACAATTAGATTTTGATTCCTAGTGAAGAAGAAATGTGCCAATTTCTTTGTTGTGACCAATATGAAATGTTGGGAATAATAGTAAAAATTAAGATTAATCAGTTAACATTTTAAAGCATTATAGTTGTCATCTGCTCAGCATTCCTAACTCATTTAAATTGTTATCATTTTACGAGATGTAATTATCAATCCTTATCATTTCATAGATGAGGAAATGGGGCAGAGAGAGAGGCTCACAGAGTTGGAAAGTGCTTGAGCCAGAATTTGGACTCAGGCAGCAGGGCTCTACAGTTTGCTGTTATTTTATTATATTTATTTAGCCCTCAATTTGATTTTTGATATAAAATGATACGAATATTTTGAATACAATTTTTGCTGGGTTACTTTTACAACCTGATACAAACGTTAATATTTGAACATGATTGAAATGCCTAAAGTCAGCAGGATAGCTAAATATTGTTCTTTAATAGAACTGCTCTTATATAGATATTTAATATTAAATCTGTTTGTGATGCCCAAAGCGGGAGAGGAGGGAAGGGCAGGTGAAATTAGTGGGGTTACAGAATCACTCTGGTTATTTGATGAGGTTACATACTGATAATTATATTGTATAAGCAATAGGGATTTGATTTGATAACCTTTTATTAGTTGAGAAGTGAGGTAACTATGAACTGGCTATTCTTCAAGTCTTTTGGGATTTTATTTTTTTTTTATTCCAGGGTAATACTTATAGGTAAATAATTGTTTTTCATTTTTTTAAATTGTCATACAGTGTTTCTATATAATTTTGTTTTCTTCTTATTATAAAGCAATATGCTTAGAAAATTTGAGGTAATCCCAGCACATATTTTTGGGTCTTTTTAAAATTACTGTTTGTTTTTAAATTATTTTTCTGAATTTATCTTTATTTCTGGTATTAACCCTATTAAAGAAAATGGTTTGTAAATTGAGTACTCACTTTCAAATTCATGTTGTCCTTCTCTTAGCATCTGCATTGTGATGCTATTAGTTGCTGTCCTGGGAATTGCAAAATTTATAGCCTTAAGGGTTTTTAATGTAGAATATGTTGTCTTTGACCACCCCACCCCCCCAAAAAATTTTAGGCTTTTGGATTATGTCTGGTTTGATCTCCTTTAGTAACATACTTATAATCTTGGGCAAATTGTTACAGTATCATTAAGCTTCAGTTTTACTACTTGACCGGTGAAAATAATGGTAACTAATGAAAAGATTAAATATAGTTCTTGGTAAATAGTAAATGCTCAGTTGAGTTATTTTTATTGTTACTGTTTCCTACAGTGGCAACTAAGCAGATTTCCTTTCTTCCCTACTTTTCTTGTGTTCTAGTAGTACCGCGAACAAGAAGCCATTCGTCTTTGCTTAAAACACTTCAGACAACACAACTATACAGAGGCTTTTGAATCCCTGCAAAAGAAAACCAAGATTGCACTGGAACATCCAATGTTGACAGATATGCACGACAAATTGGTCTTGAAGGGTGACTTTGATGCTTGCGAAGAGTTGATTGAAAAAGCTGTAAATGGTAAGAAACTTAGAAACTTGGATTATTAGGATAATTTCAGTATTTACAGGAAACTTTCAAAAAGGATGTATGCTGCTTACTCCGCTATTACTCTTTTCTATTTTTCCTGCGTTTTTATCCTGTTAAGTTCATTAGCTCCTTGGAGTAGGCAATTCTTTTATGTAAGATAAGTTTATACTATCACAGGGGTTTAAAAAAGTAATAGAAACAGATTTGAACTCATTTACCTATATTGAATTGTCTTTCTGGGAAACTAAGCACTTAACTAATAATAAATCAAGTGAGAAACAATTTTTTTGATGTTGTGTTCTATTATCAATGATTTGTTCCTTTAAGTAATTTTTTTTAGTGGTCAATATTCTCTCATTTTTGTTTTTCAAGACAGGGTTTCTGAGTAGCCCTGACTATTCTAAAACTCATTTTGTAGACCAGGCTGACCTCAAACTCAAGATCTGCCTACCTCTGCAGGTTTGTATTTATGTTCAATAAGTATTAGTAAATGTAACAGGCAAGGAAATTTACATTAAAATGTTTTCCTTTATATTATGAATACATACATAATCTTTGATTTTCTCATAGAATTTCTGACTTTCATAAGTGGCCTATAATCTGGCTTCAACAAATATATATAATATGATGATGAGATGCTTTAGATTTTAATATTTAAGGTCTCATAGTTATTTGAAGTAAAAAGAGGACTCTGTTATCCCTTAGTGAATGAGAGCTTTCTTTTATCTTTTTCTCCTTTTTGTTCTTCCGCAGTGATTTTCATAGTAACAAGGAACATTATAGATCCTCAGTATAAAGCTTGTGGAGGACTGGAGTATGACTCATTGGTAGAATGCTTGCTTAGCATTGCATACTCAGAACCATGGAACTTCAGCATTGCATAAACTGGGCCTGGTAACCCATCAACGGGGAGAGTTGAGGCAGGAGGATCAGTAGTTGAGAGTCATCTTCAGCTACGTAGCAAGTTTCAGGCTAGCCTAAGTTATGTGAAACTCTGTCTCAACAAACAAATTTGTAGAGTTGAATTCAGCATATTTTTTATATAAAGAATAAGGAATAATTATGTATTTTAATCCTACCCTTTCATATATCTTACTCTCCTGCTGTATTATCCATTCTTACTAGGTGCTTGCATTATTCAGATATTGTATTGGGTATTTTATAAATAAGGAAATCAGAAGTCATACTTTGCTACTTTATTTTATAAACTCCTGCTGGGCGGTGGTGGCGTACGCGCTTTAATCCCAGCACTCGGGAGGCAGAGGCAGGCGGATCTCTGGGAGTTTGAGGCCAGCCTGGTCTACAAGAGCTAGTTCCAGGACAGGCACCAAAGCTACAGAGAAACCCTGTCTCGAAAAACAAAAAAAACAAAAAACAAAACAAAACAAAAAAAAAAACTCCTAAAATCAGTTGCTTCCAGCTCAATTGTAAGATACGTTAGCGAAGATACCTCCAAGCCTTGTACATTGTTGTTATTTGTTTAATTGATGATGATTTATGCTTACAAATAAAGAAGTGATAGCTTTGAAATGGAGTATACTTTAAAACACTTATAATAATTCCATATCAAACAACTAAATTGCTACCAATGAAAATACATAAGTTTGTCTCTATTTCTAAAAGTTAGTTTATATATTTTTCTAATCAGTATTAGAGAAGCATATAGATAATTTTATGATTTTGGCTTTGGCTCGTTTGACATCTTTATCACTAAGGCATCTAATTTTGTTGTGTTGGTGATATAAAGTAACAGCAAGCACCATGTGTAATTTCACTGCTTGTTAGGCTAATGATATTTGCTATTTACAACTATCTCTTCAGTTGTGTGCCCCGTTGGTTAGGAGAAGCTGTTCAAAGCACATGCAGATCTGTTCACTATAGTTACTTGTGCTTCTGACTCTAGACAGGGAGCCTGGTTTAGCAAAGCAGTTGTAACTGAAACTTAGAGCTACATCATCTTCTTTGCTTTGGAACACTAGGTTAGTAACTATTCCTTTCAGGGTTGTTCACTTTGCTGCTGACTTCACTGATGATGATTTGTTGAACAAATAAGGAAAAGAACAGTGCAGAATTTTTTGGCTTCTCTTCCACTGAAAACATAGATGAGGCCAAGAAGTTTTTGCTCACTGAATAGGAAAGTAGGACACTGAAGCATCTTTTATCAGGCTCCTTACAATGGAGCAAATAGAAACTTCTTTCAGGGCATTTAATGTTCTCATTAATATGTTCTCAAGTGTGATCTTCATTTGAATATTTCTTCTTCCTTTTTTCTAACACCTGTCTAAAATTTTCATGCGTTAATAAGACTAAATTTTATAAAAACCAGAAAGGTTATTTTGTCACACACACACACACACACACACACGACATTATAAGGTATACATACTTGGAATGGTTACTTTGATATGTGTTGACGTAGATGTGTATATGCTCACCTGCCTGAGACCACCGCCACTGTTATAGTAACAAACATGGACAGTCCCTAAATTTTTCTCATATTGTTTTGTAATCTAGCCTTCCTGAATTGTTTCATCCATTCTTAGGCAACTACGTATTTACTTTCTGTCACTATAGTGAGTTTGCATTTCTATAACTTTATGTAAACAGATTATACTCTTGGACTTCTTTTAGTTGGCTTAACTATTTGGAATTTCATCTAGATTGTTACACCCATCTATATTTGTTTTCTTACTGCTAAGCAGTACATGATATAGATATATTAGTTTTCTTTTTTTTCCAGCATCCAAAAATGTTTTTATTAAAATAAATGGTTCTTCTGTATATTTATTCCATAATATATAAAGAAATATATAAAGAAATGTATATAAATATGTAGTGAAACATCAACTTTTTATTTGTAATTTTTTTATTTATTTATTTTTAATTAAAAATTAGTTTTCTTCTACATTCATCTGTTGATGGATATTTGGATTACCAGCACTTGTGGGCTGTTGCAAGTTACCATTACTATGAACATTTGTATGTAAGTCTTTGTGTGGAAACACACTTTCACGTTTTGTTTTTTTATTTAAAATTTTTTTATCTTTATTGATTTTTATTGAGCTCTGCATTTTTCTCTGCTCCGCTCCCTCCCTCTCCCCTCCTCTTCAACCCTCTCCCAAGGTCCTAATTTACTCAGGAGATCTTGTCTTTTTCTACTTCCTGTGTAGATTATATCTATGTATGTCTCTCTTAGGGTCCTCGTTGTTGTCTAGGTTCTCTAGGATTGTGATTTGTAGGCTGGTTTTCTTTGCTTTATGTTTAAAAACCACTTATGAGTGAGTACATGTAATAATTGTCTTTCTGGGTCTGGGTTACCTCACTCAAAATGATGTTCTCTAGCTCCATTCATTTGCCTGCAAAATTCAAGGTTTCTTTATTTTTTTTCTGCTTAGGAATAGAATTACCGTGTGTCATGTTATTCTAACTTTTTAAAAGTTATGTGTGTATGTGTATTTTAACTTTTTAAAATCTCAGTTCCTCAATATTGCTGGTTTTTTTTTTTTTGAGAAAAGGAAAAAAAAAGTTTCCCCCTCCTCCCAGCCTCCCATTTCCCTCTTCCTCCTCCCACCCTTCTCCCCCTCCCCCCACTCCTCTCCCCCTCCCTCTCCAGTCCAAAGAGCAGTCAGGGTTCCCTGCCCTGTGGAAAGTCCAAGGTCCTACCCCCTCCGTCCATGTCTAGGAAGATGAACATCCAAACTGGCTAGGCTCCCACAAAGCCAGAACATGAATTTGGATCAAAACCCCGTGCCATTGTCCTTGGCTTCTCATCAGCCTTCATTGTTCGCCATGTTCAGAGAGTCCGGTTTTATCCCATGCTTTTTCAGTCATAGTCCAGCTGGCCTTGGTGAGCTCCCAATAGATCAGCCCATCTCAGTGGATGGGTGCACCCCTCGTGGTCCTGACTTCCTTGCTCATCTTCTCCCTCCTTCCGCTCCTCATTGAGACCTTGGGAGCTCAGTCCGGTGCTCCAGTGTGGGTCTCTGTCTCTATCTCCATCCATCACCAGATGAAGGTTCTATGGTGATATGCAAGATATTCGTCAGTATTGCTATAGGATAGGGTCGTTTCAGGTTCCCTATCCTCATCTGCCCAAGGAACTAACTGGGGACATCGCCTTGGGCTCCTGGGAGCCACTCTAGGGTCAAGTCTCTTGCCAGCCCTAAGGTGGCTCCCTTAACTAAGAATTGTGCTTCCGTGCTCCCCTATCCAGCCTTCCTTTATCCCAATTATCCTGTTTCCCCAAGTTCCCCCATCCTCCCCTTCTCACTTTTCTCTCCCCATCTCCCCTTACCCCCAACCCACCCCACCCCCAAGATCCCACTTTTCTCCCCGGCAATTTTGTCTACTTCCCATAGGCAAGAGGATAACTATATGTTTTTCCTTGGGTTCACCTTCTTATTTAGCTTCTTTAGGTTCACCAATTGTAGACTCCGTGATGCTTATTTATGGCTAGAAACCAATTATGAGTGAGTACATCCCATGTTCATCTTTTTGGGTCTGGGTTACCTCAATATTGCTGTTTTATATTCACACAGTAGTTGTGTAAAAATTCCAGTTGTGTGACAATAATAAGATGAGGTCATGAAATTGAGAGCGAATAAGAAGAGCATGGAAAGAGTTAGAGGGGAAAAGTTGTTGGTGGAAATGATGTCAGTGTAGTACTCATGATTGAGATTCTAAAAATAAATGAAATAAAATGATAAATATAAAAAAACACAATTGACCAGTTGCCCATATATTGTAACATCTGTCAATAATATTGAATATTGACTATTCTGAAATACATATATACATGTGTGTGTATGTATATGTTTTCTGTTTTTAATTTGTATTTTGTAGTAATTGATGATACTTAGCATATTTTCATAGACATTTTTATCTTTGTATCTTCATTGTTGAAGCATTTGTTTGTATCTTTTACCCATTCTTGTAGTGAATTGTTTTCCTAAGTCTGCATTTGAGGATTTTTTTCGATCTGGAGACAAGTT